TCCTAAACCCGCAAACCCTAGGACCCTGCTAAGGTAACCCTACCTCATCCCCAAGCCCTACGTCCTAAAACCTTATAAACCCTGGCTAAACCCCAAACCCTACGTCCTAAACCCTTAAACCCCAAAAGACCAGCCCTTAAACCCACCTAAACCCCAAGCCTTACATCCTAAACCCTTAAAGCCCTTAAAAACCCTAAACCTTAAACCCTCAAACGTAACCCGAAAAAAAGCGTTAAACCCTACCATAAACCTAAAACCCTAAACCTAAAAGAGCCTAAACCTAAAACCCTAAACCCTTAAAACCCAGTCACAGAGGCGTCGTCTTTGGTGACATTGGCACCTCGCCGCTGTACACCTTCAATAGCATCTTTACGGAGCTCTTGGGTGGAGGGGGGGTTTAGGGTTTAGGGTCTAGGGTCAAGGGTTTCGGGTTTAGGGTTTTTGGAGGGGGGGGGGGAGGGGGGAGGGCTTTGGGCTTCGGGCTTTGAACGGTGGAGGCCTAAAGCCCAAAACCTTGCTTCGTCGAACTTGTTGGATGTCGGTCGAAGGTAGGTTCTGTTCGCGGCAGATTCGAACCTGACACAGTTGCATTTGTGGAGTCAGTCTGTAAAGCTACTTAGTACTTCTGCAAAGCAGTTTAACTTTGGCAAATGCACCCTGGATATCAATAGAATTGTGCAAACATAGGCCAGATAAATTGGATTTTCATAACTCGTGTTCCTTGCAATGGAAATTCCAGTAAGGTTCTGGCTAATTGTATTACGCACCCCGGAAATTCGATCAAAGAAATCTTGCTCTCAAGACTTATGGACCATATGTATGTATGTGTATATAGATATGTTGCGTGTGTAGATCATTTTCTTACTTTGGACTTTGAGAGGATCACAAAACTGCCTGAATTCCCCATCTTTATCTTACCCGGATGAACAGATTCTTAATCGAAATGTTGTTGAAATGGTTCGTCGACCTGAAGAAATGTGGATGCAAAAAAAAGCGACCCTGATTACATAGGTCTTTTTTTATTTCTGGAACCCCGTGGCAGGTATATAGAAGCTACTCGTAGGAATATATGCATCCTGGTATATGCCATGAATGATGCTGTATTCCCTGTGTTCCTTCTTGTGGATTAGATGAATATTTCCTAGCTGATGCAGTGGCTAAACCCTAAACCCTGAACCCCGAACCCTAAACCCTAAACCCTAAACCCTAAACCCTAAACCCTAAACCCTAAACCCTAAACCCTAAACCCTAAACCCTAAACCCTACGGAATGTTTGTTTGGGACCTGGGGCCACCCCAGGAGCTCCATGTAGTTCCTGACAAGGCAGATGTCCAGCAGGCTCCGAATTGGGGGGGTCTAGGGCTTAGGGTTTAGAGTTTAGGGTTTAGAGTTTGGGGTTTAGGGTTGAGGGTTTAGGGTTTAGGGTTTAGGCGAGCTGTTAGGCTGTTATTATCGAGGTCGAAAAACTACGAATAGCAGTCCCTCATGATATAACAACCACCCAACAGCCTATTCTAATTCTTACCTTACAAATTGTTAAGGCCCCCTATGCTAAGCGGTTCAGCTCCCCCCCCCCCAACAACAACAACAAGGCGGGATTTGCAGTTAGCCTGTTTAAGCTTGTTCGTGATGCAAGCCATGTAAACCCTAAACCCTAAACCCTAAACCCTAAACCCTAAACCCTAAACCCTAGCAACTCACGGTGAAGGGGGCCGGCGTTCACTTCAGCGGTGGAGCTACACGTCACACGTAAATCCCTCCCCTTCCCCGGCCCTTTTCGGGTTTAGGGAGTTTAGGGTGTAACGTAGGATTCAGGTTTGGCATATCCCCCCCCCCCCCCCCCCCCCCCCCCGCCACCTCCCCCGAGCCCTGAACCCTAAACCTTCAACCCATCATGAACCACAGAGAGAGGCCCTTCAAATCCCAAAGTTCTGGGTCCCGCTTGGGACGCAACGTATGAAATTCCGAAAAGCTTTCTGAGCCGGTACTAGAACTTTAAAAAGCTTAGGTTACCATCATGGATAGAAGTTAACAAGCTTGGGCTTTGTTTTTTCCCGGTGATTGGAGAAGTTTTTCTTAAACAAGCTAAGTTGCTATTCCGAAGTAAGAAAACCCTGAACCCTGAACCCTGAACCCTAAACCCTAAACCCTAAACCCTAAACCCTAACCTCCAAGTCGTTCTTGCCGACGTGAGAAAGGCCTTCTCCGTCATCTTCTGGACCATGGTCTGGATGTGCTGCTTCAAGCACCTGGGATTGCCCAGACCTAACTTCCAAACTCTAGGATTTAGGGTTGAGGGTTTAGGGTTTAGGGTTTTGCAATGTGGGCTTTTTGGGGCTTAAGGTTGAGCATCTAGATTCTGGGCCCTGGTGGGTTCTCAGATATCGCCAAAAAACAGGTGGACCCTAAGCCCTAAACCCTAAAGCCTCTGTTGCCGACTCCTAACTTCAGGGTTTAGGATTTAGGGTTAAGGGTAAACCTCAAACCCCCAAAGCCCCGTTCCGCAGAGCGCAGAAGCCCTCAAGCGGCCGAACGCCCTGAAGCCTTAACCACTGGAAAGCCCTGGAATCTAAGGACCCTCATTATAAGCCCCTAAACCCTAAACCCTAAACCCTAAACCCTAAACCCTAAACCCTAAACCCTTTGACTATACTTAGTACAGTAAGGGGGCCCCGAAGCCTATAAGATTGAATCAAGCCCCATCTAGAAAGGTGTTCAGGACATAGGCACCAGAATCCTTCTGCCTCAAACTTGCAAACTCTGCAGCACCCAAACAAGCCCTTCTCCAGGCAGCCCTCAACCAGGGCAAGTTTATCTAACAACTCAGGTAGCGTACATTATTGTTTGCGGTTTAGGGGTTTACACTCACATATGCCAAGCCCTACATCCCCCCTAAACCCGAACCCTAAGTAAGCCCAACAAAAAGAGTCGGGGGTTCCTTCGATTGTTTTCTCAGCGGGCTACAGACTTGTCGAGCCTTTGGTTTTTTTTGGCTTGGTGCGTTTTGGGCTTAGTTGGGCTTAGAGGAGATTGATGTGGGTGGGTCCTGGGCTTGGAGGTGGGCGGGGGGGCCAAATGCGGGATCCCCTTTGAGGTTCAGGGTTTATGGCCAGCGCTGTCAGGGCTTAGGGTATATGAGCCTCTATCAGGAGTCCCAATATAAACAATGGGTGCCTATGAACGGGACCAATCGCCACGTTGCATCCTGGGTTGGTCTTTTGAGGGTTTAGGGTTTAGGGTTTAGGGTCTTTCCAGCCCAAGGTACATCGGCATGGTCATGCGCGTCAGCCACCACGGAGAAGGAGGCCGAAAACCTACGAAACAAGGTTTTCAGGGTTTTGCCCGACACCCTAGCTAGGGTTTAGGGTTTAGGGTTTAGGGTGTAGGGTTTAGGGTTTAGGGTTTAGGGTTTAGGGTTAAACCCTAAACCCCAAAACCCTAAGCCTTACACCCCAAACCCTAAAAACTTAGGGTTCAGGGCTCAGGGTTTAAGGTCTATAGGGTTTAGGGTTTAGGGTTTAGGGTTTAGGGCCTGGCCCCTTTCCGGGCAGCCAGGAGGTGTTCGGGGCGGTGAACTTTGGGGAACGTTTAGGGTTTAGGGTTTAGGGTTTAGGGCTTCGGAAGGGTTTGGGGCTCATAGGGTTTAGGGTCTTGGGTTCTGTTGGGTGCTGAATAGCAGGGAGTAGGGATTGGAAGAACATTCAGAAGATCAACGATCGTGATGTGAAGGAGCCTATACTTTGTGGTAGGTTTGTGGAATCTTAGCGCTACACTAGCGATGTACTTCGCTCACCATCATGAGACCACATGTTCAGGGACCCCAAGAAAGAGGACGGCTCCCCCTTAAGGCACACTTTTGCTGGTTTAGGGTTTAGGTTTAGGGTTTAGGATTAGGGTTTAGCCAAAAAAACCTAAAGCCCTAAACCCAGATGGCAATCCTGAAGCCTTTAGGGTTTATTGTTTATAAGGCTTAGGGTTTAGCTTTAGGGTTTCGGGTCGTCGTAATCCTAACGAATCAATAGTGCGGGCACAAGGTGTGCGCTTGCGGAAGCGTCCCTCTTTCCTTGTCTAAGCATCTGCTAAGGAACAAATAGCTGACTTTAAGGCGGACACCCACAAAAAACCCAAAAAACTCCAAAACCCGAAAACCCTATTAAAACCGTAAGCCCTACACCCTGAACCCTACACCGCAAACCCTGAGCGGGTATAGGATCCCCATGATTCCTAAACCCTAAACCCTAAACCCTAAACCCTAAACCTCGTCGAGGAACCTTCGCCATGATGCAGGTGATTCTGGAGCACTTGCAGCATCAGAAGGACCCTAAACCCTCGAACCCAAAAGCCTTGGTTTCGGGCTAGGGTTTAGGGTTTAGGGCTTAGGGTTTAGGGTTTAGGGTTTAGGGTTTAGGGTTTAGGGTTTAGGGTTTAGGGTTTAGGGTTTAGGGCCCTAAACCCCAAACCTTAGCATAAAACCCTAAACCCTCAACGGCGCCCTTTCCCTCCTCTTTAGGGCGAGGTTATCTGCACAAACCCAATTAGCTTCCCTTTCCCTAGAACCCCCGTAGCTGGCTCTCTAGCTTGGTAGACAAGTGGTGCCCTTTGGTCATTTTTTTTTTGGGAGGGGGTTAGGGTTTAGGGTTTGAGATTTGGGTTCAGGGTTTAGGGTTTAGGGCTTAGGGTTTAGGGTTTAGGGTTTAGGTTCTCTTTATACAGTAAGTACAGTAACCAACCCCCAACCACGGTACTCTCATTATGATATTGTTACTGGGGCACCAATCTAGAGGATGCAGGGATGTCGGGTTTAGGGTCTAAGGGCCTATAAAGGTTTCCAAGAGATTTTAAAGTTAAGGGTTTCGGTTTCCAGGGTTGAAGCGTTAAAGAGGGATTTTATCTTCAAGGGTTCAGGGTTTCCGGAATTTAAGGGTTTTGGATTCTTTAGGGTTTTGTAACTAGGGTCTGTTTCAGGTAATCAGACTGCCTGGCCGCTTGCTTTCGAAGACATGTCCTCCTTGCAGCTGCAGGTCGGACATTCGCATCATGTATCAAGGGACGAAAGGAGGGACCCTTGTGAGGGACCTAAGGTCTTAGGGGTTATTGGGTGTTATTTTGGGGCTACTTCGGTATCTAGGGACTATATTAGGTATATACAGGGGTTATACAGGGAATAAGATTCAGGGTGTCTTCTAGAAGTCCCTCCTTATTCCCCTTAGATGTACGCTGTCCGCCCTGCAGTTATCTGATGTCTTGGCCGGCCAGAAAGCCTGAGACTTTCTACCACGCCCTAACCCTAAGCCCTTGTAATCATATACTCCTCAATTCCTAAACCCCTCTAACTTCTTATCAAGGCCGGTGGCCTCTTTATCCGTTACCCTTGTGCCGTAATAAAGCCCCTAGATACCCTAATAAGAACCCCCCTTACAAAGCAGAAACCCTACGTAAAGAGACCACCAACCAATATAACCTCTTGCTCTGAATCAACCCTAAACCCTAAACCCTAAACCCTATGCCTCGAAACCCTAAACCCTTAATCGAGACTTCCGTGCAAGGACGAGGATGACTCCTCCGACGAGGAAGCCTCCGAAGAGGATGGGCAGAATTCTTTCGGGATTGCGTCTGTGCGTAACTGACGGGGGGTTTAGGGTTTAGGGTTTAGGGTTTAAGGCATCTTCCCGCGCAGCGGCAGAAGATCTCATGCTCATGGCGCGCTGCCACCGCTCCTGGGTCTGAGACTCTTGCGGCTTTGAATGCTTGCACCTAAACCCTAAACCCTGAACCCGAAGTCCTAATCCTAAACCCTAAGCCCTAAACCCCAAAAGAGATCTTCAATTTCAGAGCTGCCCTTAGAAGCAGCAACTGGGACTTGTTTGTTACGGGCAACAGTTGTAGATTTATGGGTCTGCCCTACAATAAGATTCAGGGTTTTGGGCTTTGGGCTTTTGGGCGTTTGGTTCAACTAAGTTTGAGTTAAACGGCAAGTTCCCTAAAGTACGGTCCCTTGCGGTGTGCTCAAAACGGGAGAATCGCGCATGACAAGAGAGCATACTGGGCATAGTGGAGAGAGTTGCCCCTCTATACCTGAAGTAGAAGTGCGCCACACAAAGCCTTCTAAACCATCTGTTACAGGTAACTACCAGTATGGGCGATAAAGCCCTGTAACCCCTGAAAAGGGTCTTTATAGGATAAATTATGGGGATTCTAAGGCCTCATAGCACCTCCTGGTATGCACAGGAGATCACCGACGTGCCCAGCAAGCGACTGAGCCCCTCCACCACGGAACAGCGCGTGGTGTTCCTCTTAGGGAGCCTTGGACTCCGCTTTGGTCAAAGGTTGTACGCTTGGGTTTGGGGACCCCTAAACCTTAAACCCTAAACCCTGAACCCTAAACCCTACACCCTAAACCCTCTAAGGTAATATAGGGGCCATATTAGGAGTAGTTTGAGGGCAACCTCTTCGAGTACGTCCTTAGGGGTGCAAGTATGACTCCCTTGACTGATGTGCGGGAGGGGAATGCGCACCCTAAACTTTGCACCGGGGAGCCCTAAACAAGAGAAGCTAGCCCTAAACCCTAAACTCTACCTCCCCCGCCCCCCCCAACCCGAGGGTGTTGAGCTGCTCCATGCTGATCGGCGACGGCGTGGTGACGCCGCCGAACTCTGTCCTTGGCGCCTTGAGACTTGTCCCATCTTAGGAGTTTAGGGCTTAGGGTTTAGGGTTTAGGGTTTGAACTCTGTTCTTGGCGCCTTGAGACTTGGGGCGCACCTTGGGGGCTTGTTCCGTTTTTTGATGCAAGAGGAGTTTCGGGTTTAGCGTTTTAATTCTATACTGGGTTTTATTGTTTTAATTGTATACAGGGTGTAGGGGTTTAATTCTATACAGGGTTTAGGGTTTAGGGTTCTAGGGTTACGGTTTAGGGTTTACAGGTAGCAAGTGCAGTTCCGTTCCAAAACCTCCCACAAGAGTCTCAAGGCGTGGCTCGAACTTCTCAGCCCGGAGTTCGTCAAGACAATATTTAAGAGTCCTTCTTGAACGACAAGATGGGTCTTCCTGAAATAGCGCGGCCCTTCTTCGACACAAAATAACATTCTTGCAATGCGGGAGCCGTCCGTTCTGTGGCGGGATGTCAGAAGGGGAGTGGCCGGGATCGGATGACTTGGTATACTCAGACTCAGGCCGGGGGGGCGGGGGTCAGCCGCCAAATTCCTGGTCCTGAATCGTTGCCCGATGCAATGCTTAGACGTCTGACATCCAGAAAGCAGGAAGGATGGACCATGAACGATGCAACACACAATCGCGATGATGATTCAGAGCGCGTGCCTGCGCCGTGAGCTCTCTAAATCTGCCCGATGACGTATGGTTGGCGTTACTGCCGCGCTGCTACCTCCTCCAGTCGGGCATGTACGTGCCGCCGTGACAATGCGCACCCCCAGCGTTGCGAGGGATGCCGCGCAAAACTCCGCGTAAAATGTATCGTCGCAGCCGCACGTTCTTCTGATGCAGCATCGGGGAGCAGGCGCGAAGGCTGCGAAGAGGGGTGCATGAAGCTGAAGCAGGTGAAGTGAGACCTACAGTTGGCACTCCAGCCCTCTTAAGGCCTTATAGCGTCAAACGACTGGGAACTTGCCATGCTCTCACACCTTATGGTTAACCCAGTGTTAAGAGTACAAAATGCACTTGCACAACATGCCCACTCTAGTTAAGCAGGCCACGCCATGAGGGAAGCCTGCAATTCCTACGCGAATTACGTTGAAATCTAGGAAAACTGTCCTTAGGATGTGTCGGGTGTAAGCCCAAAACCCCAAACCCGAGACCTTTAGTGTAGGCATTGAAGATTTCAATTCCGGGCAGCCTTATCTACGTGGGGGCTTTGTGTGGGGCAGGGCGTCAGCTTGAGCCTGGAGTGGAAAGGCCGGAGCGCGGACATGACAATGGTACCATAGGGGCTGGGTGCTTCACCTTTAACCTTTTTGGTTATATGCGAGCCTATTAACACTACCAATAAACGGTGAACCTTTTTTGGGCTAGGGCATTCAGCCCCCAACGTCCTAGGGTCATTAGGGTCTAGAGTTTCGGGGTTCAGGGTTTCGGGTTTAGCGGACGGAACGTCAGTGTTATTCGCAGGATCAACAAGTTATGGTATACCTGGTCTTGTTCAGGAATAGCCCCATCATGACCGTGCCCAAAAGCTGGAACGTGGTCATCGCAGTGCTCATTCAGATTGGCCTGCTCCTTGGTAGACTCGGAAAACCCAAACTAAATAACGCAGGTGCTCATATCACACGTTAGGACATGCATCAGAACGGCGCGCTAGACCTTAAACCCTGAACCCCAAACCCCAGACCCTTTACCACAGCAAAAGCAAGGATGTCGGAGTTTGGGGAGTTCAAGAGGTTTAGGGTTTAGGGTTTAGGGTTTCGGAGTTTGAGGAGCTTGGCAGATGTCGGTGGGCAGGGTCTGCAATCCTCTTAGCCGAGGCGGGGTGCGAAGCCCGTACTATAGTACTAGGTCAGGTCATAATCGCAGTACGTCATCCTAGCAATGATGAGAAGGGTTTAGGGTTTAGAAGTTTAGGGTTTTGGGTTTACGGTTTAGGGTTTAGGGTTTAGGGTTTCTCTCAGCCTCTTCGAGAAGAATGCGCTATACCGCCATGGGTCCGATAGAGGCAAGGTCAAAGCGTCCAAGAACTGAGTCTTACGCAGTGCTCGTGCATGCTCACTATATTCCACGTAAGAGGGGCAGAGCCCTGAAGCCCTATGAAAGGACCTGCAAGAAGAACATATTCCAGCTCTAGACCCTAAAAGTCCCTATAACCCTATAACCCCCTAAACCCTAAACCGTAAACCCTAAACCCTAAACCGCCAGCTCTATGAAGGGCTGAGGAAGCTGAAGGGTTGGCACCCGGAGCTGCAAGGAGCGGGCGCCTTTGGACCCCCCCTCCTAAACGTTTAGGGTTTAGGGTTTAGGGTTTAGGGTTTAGGGTTTAGGGTTTAGGGTTTAGGGTTCAGAGTTCAGGGTTTAGGGTTTAGGGCAACAGACCCAAATCCGCAAAGTCAAACCCAAAGTCCCCAAACACCCAGGTTTGCACTGCAAAGGGCTGGCTCCCGTGTCATCGGATTTGTCCCTGGGCATGTCTTCCGCTTGGGTTTAGGGTTTAGGGTTTGGGGTTTAGGATTTAGGGTTTAGGGTTCAGGATTTAGGGCTTGGGGTTTAGGGTTTGGGGTTTAGTACTTTTCTGAATCCCCCACCAGCCAGTCATTGCCTAAACTGAGAGCCCGAAACCTTGAAGCCCCCATGATGGTGTCAGGTGGAGGGTTGGGAGGTTAGGCTTTAGGGCAGGTTGTAGGGATTGGGGTGTGGGGTTTCTGGTTCCTTCAACTAAACCCTGAACCCTAAACCCTAATCCCTAAACCTTAAACCCTAAACCCTAAACCCTAAACCCTAAACTCTAATCCCTAAACCCTAAACCCTAAACCCTAAGAAGTTAGAGTCTATGGATGAGTTTGCGCATGCCATCCGCGATCCGTTTCGCCACCAAACCTACATCGCCCCACATTTAGGCCGCAAAGATTTCGGGTGTTGGGTTTGGGGTTGAGCGTTTATAGGGTTTAGGGTTTAGGATTAGGGGTTTAGGGTTTGGGGTTTAGGGCTTGGGGTTTAGGGTTGAGGCTTCAGGCTTTAGGGTTAAATCTCCATTGTTGGGGTTGTTCTCCGAAACTCCAAAACCCTGAAAGCCTAAACCCCGAAACCCTTACCCCGAACCCCAAAACTCCTATCGAATTTGCCCTAGAAGCCTAAACCCCATACACCGAATCCATTGACCCCAACACTGAGTGCTATGTCTAAGCCCGAAACCCTAAGACCTTAAACCCTGAATCCTATGCCCCGAATCCTAACACGCGTAAACCCTAAACCCTGTTCCGAAACTTTCAACCCATACTGCAGGTTTCAGGCCCTGTTATGATCCTTTGGTTTCTGACGATGGGCTCTCTGGGTGTCTACCAGATCTGGCAGAACCCAGACGCCTGGTGTGTGTTGGGATGAGGGTTTAGGGTTTAGGGTTCTACCAAAATCTTGCAGAACCCAGATGCCTGGGGTGTTGGAACTAGGGTGCTAAGTTTGGGCTTGGTTCAAAAGGAAAATTAATACGAAACTTACACAACCTCAGGGACCAAGGGCATTGCATGTGGCCTTAAGGAGCAATGCTTTTCTGTCCGCGTTGGGTTTTCAAAACTCCAGCGCTTCAGGGATTGGGCTTTCGGGTCTGGAGTCGTACTGGGGTCGTACTTCTCTCCTACTTCTATCTTGTTCTACACTTTTCTTGGAGGTTTCGGGTGCCACCTTACCAAAAACAAGCGACACGAGATTTCTCTGTCAAAGTTCCTTAAACCCTAGCCCTAACCTTACCTTACTTGCAGGCCCTACACGCTAAACCCTAATGACTGCAAACCCTACACAGCCCACTTCTGACACGCAGCAATCAAGCGAGATGGTTAAACTGCTTGAGACCCACTGAGCCCTTCCATCCTGATTATTAGGCATAGGGTTTAGGCTTCAAGCCTAGCTTCGGGAGGGGGTGTTCGCTTAGAGCAACAGGGCCCGCCCCTGACCCTCAACGCAAACCCAATTTGACCTAAAACCCTATGTAGGCCAAAACCCCAAAGAAGTAAATGCCGCTGCGGAGACTCTGTCTTGTGGTTAAGCTCCCGCAGTAGCACCACAGAACAAGGCACCCTAAAGGGTTTAGGCAACCTAAACCCTAAACCCCTACACCCTAAACCCTAAAACCCTAAACCCTATACCCTGAAACGCAAACCCTACACAAGCTACAAAAGGGACCCTGCGCACTCTTCCGGGTAGCCGAGGAGATGGCTCGCTACATGGCGCAGGGCTTTAACCCGGTGACCTGTTGGCAGTGGCACTCCTGGGCATCTTCATTTCAGGTTTATGGTTTAGAGTTTAGGGTTTAGGGAATTCAGGAAGTTGGTTCAGAGTCCGGTTATGATTCGCATTGAGTTTCAGGGTTTCCCTTTCTTTTTCACACCAAGGCCAAGGTCTACGAATGGTTTATCGGCGGCCACTTCCATGGCGTGCGGGCCTACCGGTCCATCGCGGGGATCGTCCTCTGCGTGACGGGCGCCGAAGCGCTGTATGCAGATATGGGCCGCTCGGACAGCCTAGGTCCAGGGTTTAGGGTTTAGGGTTTAGGGTTTAGGGTTTAGGGTTTAGGGTTTAGGGTTAGGTGCTCCGGAAGTATCCTCATCTTAAGGTTTAGGGTTTGCACTATGGTTTCCTAGACCCTATAGGCCCTGAACCCTTAACCCTACACCCTAAACCTAGGTACTTACCTCTTCTTGGTCTTTCTGTGTTCCTAACAGGATGTAGAACCGCAGGGTGGCCCGGGTCTACAACCCAGGGCCCCTGAGGGTTTAGGGTTTCGGGTTAGGGTTTAGGGTTTAGGGTTTAGGGTTTAGGGTTTAGGGTTTAGGGTTTAGGGTTTAGGGTTTAGGGTTTAGGGTTTAGGGTTTAGGGTTTAGGGTTTAGGGCTATGCTGACCTCGGCAGACATTTAAAGTTGACAGGCCCCGCGAACCAGAACATGGTTCTTTTTGCTAAGAGTTTTAAGACCTTCAAAACACCAGAAACCCGATACCATGTCACAACACAGCCTGGAAAAGGACAATGAGTGTTTGTCACCGCGATACAGACACCACCGTGCGGGCGCATATCGTGTGCGGTTTTTAACACCCTAAACCCGAAACCCTAAGCCCTAAGCCCTAAGCCCTAAGCCCTAAGCCTTAGAATCTAAGGTTGCAGGTACGGGCCTTCCCCCCCCCCCTACCCCTCCTCCCTTCCGAAAGCAAATCCCAGATCACGACCAACTGGGCTTCCTATCATAGTACGGAGCCTTGCACTTTGCATCCCCAAAAGGCCATCATACAGCAACTGCCCACTGTTTCAATCATAATCCCTAAACCCTAAGCCCTAATCCGCCTGAAGCCCTTAAAGCCCTGTAGCAGGCCACTTTGGGCCACGTCCCATCACGACTGCCTGGTTTACGCTGGTCTTTCCGTGCCTCATTCTGCCCCTAGGCAGTCCCGTAGAGGGGGGGGGGGGTGGGGGGGGGAAGGCCCATACCTGCAACCTTAGTTCCTTACGGTTCAGGGTTTAGGGTTTAGCGTCTAGGGCTTAGGGTTTACGGTTTGGGGCTTTGCCGTTTTATTTCATTGGCATTGAGAGGACCCCAAAACCAAAAACCCAACAACCATAAACCCCCGAACCCTAATCCACTTAAACATCTTTCTCACACTTAGTTTTTCAGGTTTTTCTTATCCTGTCAACCCTAAACCCCAAACCCAAAACCCAAAACCCTAAACCCTAAACCCATTTTCGAAAGGTCTTTTGGAGTTTGCGTGGAAGGCCCCTGGACCCTTCGACTTGCGCAAACGTCTTCCAGACAAGGCTTCCGGCCCCGAGTTTTGATGAGGTTTCACTACAGGGCCCCTGCTGCCCTTTTTTGTTAGTTGGTAGGGTTTAGGGTTTAGGGTTTAGGGTTTAGGGTTTAGGGTTTAGGGTTTAGGGTTTAGGGTTTAGGGTTTAGGGTTTAGGGTTTAGGGTTTAGGGTTTAGGGTTTAGGGTTTAGGAGTTCACAAACATTTCTGTTGCCGACCTACGCAATCAGTTGCAGAAGGACTAGTCAAGTTAAGCAGTTTTCAGCGCCATTGCTTCCTGGTGTAAATCACTCCCATGATCCTCTTTTCGCTCGGTATCGCCATCGCGATCCTGCACCGCAGCGACAAATCGAGAGAGCCCAAGCCCTAAACCCTAAACCCTAAACCCTAAACCCTAAACCCTAAACCCTAAACCCTAAACCCTTTTCGAAAGTCGCTCAAAAACACACCAGCATCCTGGGGATGTCAGAATGAACCCCCCCCAAAAAAGACGAAAGACAAGAATCTTATATTAACCCTTATAAGGAAGAACATTCTTATTATTGTTATTAGTACTATTCTGTTTTTTACATGATTTTTTACACAGTTGTACTACTTGAAATCGCTTTTGCAGAAGGAAACATCAGAAGAGGTGCTAATCGAGGATGAGCATCTCGAGTTTTACGAGGAGGCAAGCGGAATATCATGAAATATAATTTCGTCGGCAGTGTACTTGTGGAGAATTTCCCAATCAATGAGGAGAACGCTGTCGACCACTGGGGATGTCCCCCCTTATACTAACAGTCCTTAGTAGATTGTAGTTCTAGAATCCCTACTAAGGACTGTCAGAAGAAGGGGAAACATCCAAATCCATCACGCATAAACCCGAACAAACACACCGGTTGTAAGGCCCTGCAGTCCTCATATGCAGCCCTTCACCATAAGCGCCTTGAGTTTCGGGCTCAAAGATGCCAAAACCGTGTCTCTACTCCTTGAATTAGCTGTAGAACCCTGAGCCCTAAACCCCCCTCCCCCTAGCCCTACCGAGGCAGTACATGGGCCAAGCCATCGTCTTGGCCAACGACCCCAAGGGCGTCAGCGACAACCCCCTGTACCTGACCGTGCCTCTTCAAGGGAATAAGACTCGCACCCCTAAGCTTGTACCCCCGAAAGGTTACCCTTAACATGCTCCCAATATGGCCCTATATTACTTACAGGATCATTTAAATGGGTCCCCAAAAAACCCAAGGGTACAACCTTAAGGGTCCCCTAGACCTCTGACCATGGCAGCCCCTGATTGCCCTAATAGGTTTCATAGGGGCTTCTAGTCTAAGGGTACTTACATGGGCCCTTGACATGGTCCCTAACCTCTTGTAAAGGGTTCTGATGTAAGGGCCTTTAAGGACCCATATTAAGGGACCATAAAACTGCCCTAAGATATAGGGCATATAGGACTTGGGCTTATAGGGTTTCTGGGGTTGAGGATTTAGTGGGGTTGGCGTCTAGGGTGCGGTTTTAAGTTATGGAGGGTGTAGAGTTTAGCATCTAATGTACAGGTTTTTGTAGAGATAAAAGGAAATAATATAAGATCAATAAAAGTAAAATTATATTATCTCTTTATGATTTAACAAACAATATGAGAAAACCTCAACGCCATCAACACCACAGCCAAACGATTCTTGTCAATAAGGGCCTCAGCGTACCTTGTTTGGGAAGCTAAAGGTCTACCAGGGAGCTGCGACACATCTAGGGTGGTAGAGGCCGATAGAAGGTCGAGGGCTGAGCCATCTTGCTGCGTTTGGGTGCCCCTGGACGATATTCTGGGGATCCCCCACCAACCCTGAAACCCTAAACCCTAACCCTAAACCCTAACCGTAAAGCCTAAACCCTAAACCATCCGAAGACCCGCATGCAGTGGACTCCAGTTCCGCATGACCCGCACCTCCAATCTCGAATCTTGAGTTGCAAGGTCGGGCTAAACCTTAAACCGTTAAACCTAAACCAGGGTTGAGGGCTTAGGGTCTAGGATCTGATTGGGTTGAAGTGGATCTTGCATAGGACTTGTTTGGAGGCTTTAAGCGCCAACCTTGTTTACGGTTGAAAATCTGGCGGATTCCCACATTTCCAGTATTTCTCTTGGAAGGAGTTTATAGGACTGGAGATTTAGGTTCGGGGAGGCCGAAGCCATAGTAAACCCTAGCCCTAAACCCTAAACTTTACCCGTAAGGCCCTCAACTCTAAACCCTCAACCCCAAACCCACAGGCGCCAGATCATTCCATCCCTAGCCCTATACCCTAAACCCCTAAAGCTTAAACCCTAGCCCTAAACCATAAACCCTAAACCCTAAACCCTAAACCCTAGACCCTAGACCCTAGACCCTAAACCCTAAACCCTAAACCCTAAACCCTGGCCCTAAACCCTAGACCTTAAAACCCACAGAGGCGCCAAATCATGACTTCCTCTGGCCGCTCTTCCTCCTGGCCGCGCTCGCCGCCGTGATAGCCTCGCAGGCTCTCATCTCAGGCTCCCGAAGGGTTTAGGGTTTAGGGTGTAGGGTTTTAGGGTTTAGGGTTTAGGGTTTGGGGTTTAGGGTTTAGGGTTTAGGGTTTAGTAAGCTTAGGGTTTGGCAAAAACTTGTAGGTTTTTGGGATTTGTTGAAGGTTGGGCTTCGCATCCATGCTGGGGTCTTGGGGACAGTTCGTTCGGGTTGAGGGTTTAGGGTTTAGGGTTTAGGGTTTAGGGTTTAGGGTTTAGGGTTTAGGGTTTAGGAGATCAGTGGGTTAGGGTTTAGGGTTTAGGGTTTAGGAGATCAGTGGGTTTAGGGTATCAGAGTAGCCCTAGATGCCACTTATCAGCCCCTTAAGTGCCCCAATGTGGCTGTAATTGGGTTATAAGTATAGCTAGTATTGAGGTAATAAGTACCCTGGACCTCCAAGCAGGCCTCTTGGTCGCCAAGTCACCCTGAGATCTCTGGCCAGGCATCTTCACACTGATGTCGCAAGCGCACGCCCTGGGGCTAGCCCCTCCGTCGCGACGAGGTTAGGGTGGATCCTAAACCCTAAACCCTGAACCCTGAACCCTAAGCCCTAAACCTTGTGAGGGTATAAGGGCTCACGCGCATAGGGCTTCCTTCACTTACGGGGCATTGCAGGCTGAAGGCTTTGAGTTTTCCAGGCTGCATGGTTCTGGTTCGATCGCGAGTTGCCCGCCTATAGTGCCGGCATGCTACCGGAGTCTCTGTTCAAAGGGTTGTACGAGGTCAGTGACCCTCAACTTAAACCCTAAACCTTAAACCCTAAACCCTAAACCCTGAACCCCAAGCCCTAACTTGTAGATCCCTGTGTGTGTGTGTGTGTTGGGTTTAGGGTTTAGGGTTTAGGGTTTAGGGTTTAGGGTTTAGGGTTTAGGGTTTAGGGTTTAGGGTTTAGGGTTTAGGGTTTAGGGTTTAGCTTGGGTTTGTCTTCGCCTTCAGCGTCTGGTAAGAAAGGAATGCGCGTACCCAAGAAACAGCACCCATCGGAGACGTACCTTCAACAGTTAGTAGGGTTTAGGGTTTGGGGTTTAGGGTTTAGGGTTTGGGGTTTGGGGTTTGGGGTTTGGGGTTTAGGGTTTAGGGTTTAGGGTTTACGTCACAAACGTCAAGTGCATGCAGCATTTCCCTTTAGAGACGACGAAGGGCCGAACCCCAGGCAAGGTTTACCAGCATCCCCAATGCCTTAGCCCTTCTTCACTTTTCGCCTAAACCCTAAACTCTAAACTGGCCCAGACCCTAAACCCCAAACCCTAAACCAACCAAAAACCCTCAACCCTAAACCCTAAACCCTAAACCCTAGCCCTAAACCCTAAACCCTAAACCCTAAACCCTAAACCCTAAACCCCAAACCCTACTAAACCCTAAACTGACGTTTTTGACAGCAACTGGCCACCCCAAGGTTCCCAGGCTGCTTGTCCTGCACACAAACCCGGATGAGAGGGGACAGGCAGGGATGCTGGTGCGTTCGGGTTTAGGGTTTAGGGTTTAGGGTTTGGGGTTTAGGGTTTAGGGTTTAGGGTTTAGGGTTTAGGGTCTAGGGTCTAGGGTCTAGGGTCTGGGTCTAGGGTTTAGGGTTTAGGGTTTAGGGTTTAGGGTTTAGGGTTTAGGGTTTCGGGTTTTGGGTTTTGGGTTTAGGGTCTAGGGTCTAGGGTCCAGGGTCCAGGGTCTAGGGTCTAGGGTCTCGGGCAGGCAGGGGCACCTGAAAGCCCCGGGCTTCAGAGCTCATAGGGTTATAGGGTCTGAAGGGGGTTCAGGGTTTAGGGTCTAGGGCTACTGGGCTACCAAAAACCCTATACCCTAAACGGACCCTAAGAAGTTGGGTCTAGGTATGGACGGTTTACATGTTCAGTTTGGGCCCTTTTGGGGGTACCCTAAATAATTGGGGCCCTAAACCCTAAACCCTAAACCCGAAATCCTAAACCCTAAACCCTAAACCTCTTAGAAGGAACCCAAAAGGGACCATGTTTTGGAGGAGTGACCCTGTAGGCTTTTAGGGTTTGGGCTTCATGGTCTCATATAGGGTTTAGGGTAACCCTAAACCCGAAACCCTAAACCTCTAGAGTGGGTTTTAGGGTCTGGGCTTCCTAGCTCCCTTAGGGTGGGAGTGGCACAGGGCTCAGGGCTTCTGCTCTATCCCCCTTGGGAATCATTTTTTGTTCATATAAACCCAAGAGGGTTTAGGGTTTAGGTTTTAGGGTTTCGGGTTTAGGGTTCAGGGTTTAGGGTTATTTATTATTAAGGTTCTAAGGGGAGTATAGTCTGGGGCATGACACGGAGCGCAGGTCTACATCCCGGAAATCAACTGGATGCTGATGACCGTGGCTTGACTGAAGTCTGGCTCACGCTTTTTTCCTTCGTCAGTTTTGTGGTTTAGGGCTTAGGGCTTTGGGCTTAGGGCTTTGGGCTTAGGGGATGCAAACATAGCTTTGCAGCTTAGGGCGTTTCTTGTACTTTGCAGGGTTCGAAAGCTGAAGGTCTTTCGGGGTCGAAGCCCTGAATCGGCCCTGGCTCGCATGAAGGTCTTGCGGGGCCGAAGCCCTAAACCCTAGTCCTTCTATCGAAGAATCTAAGGGTAGTTTCATGGTCCCTTAATATGGTCCCTTACCTTCTTTGAAGGGTTCGGATGTATGGGCTCTTGGGTTTTTAGAGTACATACGGGGTATATAAGGGGTCCCCGTTTAAGGACCCATACTAAGGGACCATGTAATTACCCTAAGAAAGAATTATCCAACATAGCCCTTGGGCGTACCCTTACCCGTAACGGAAACCAGGAGTATGGTAAAGTCCTTCCTTATATTCTCCTTTTATAGGTTAAGGGGTATGGGTTGGGATGTTCCCCCCTTATACTAGCAGTCCTTAACAGGGATTATCGAACCCCCCCCCATGATAATCCCCATTAAGGATTGTTAGTATAAGGGGGAACATGCCAAGGTATGGGTGTGGGGTATGTTGAATTATTCCTAGATTCTTGGGGCTCTCCCGTTGGAGGGCTGCATCATGATCACCCTCGCTTTCGAAACCTCGGACGCCCTCGTCGCGGCCTATGGCACTGTGGCGCAGGCTTTTCAGGTGGTCAGTTTAGGCCTTCTTGTTTAGGGTTTGGGGTTTAGGCTTAGGGTTTGGGGTTTAGGCTTTCGTTTCGGGGTTTTGAACATTCGGGGTTTGGCACTTGGCGTGCCCTTCTGGGATTGGCAGGGGTGCAAGTCACCCAAGTTAGGACCCTGGCCCCGATGCCCTAAACTCTTCAACCCTAAACCCTAAACCGCTTCAAGACCTCATGCTTTCTGTTTTGGTGTCCATTGTGAAAGCAGTAATTATGGTTTTCGGTGTAAGTCGAGCATGGGCTCGGTGTTTAATTTAGTGATCTATATTGTTCAGGGTTTCGGGTCTAGGGTTTTAGGGTTTAGGGTTCAACGCCCCAAACCCAGAGGTATCGCTGTTACTGGAGCCTTCATCTTCACAACCCTGCTGCTCTTCTGGGTGCTCCGGCGCGCCACGCGGACTTCGCAGTGAGCCCCACCTGGGGATGCCCTAAACCCTAAACCCTAAACCCTAAACCCTAAACCCCAAACCCCAAACCCTACACCCTAAACCCTAAACCCTAAACCCTAAACCCTAAACCCTCAACTAAACCCTAAATCCCAAGCCCTAAGCGCTAAACCCTAAGCCCAAAGGCTGCGTAAGCTTATGGCTTTCGGTGCTGAAGCTCCGACGTCCTTGTAACAGCATGCTTTATGCGTGCTTTTGCTAGGACTTAGGGTTTAGGGCTTAGGTTTTGAGGCCCCAAACCACACGAACATAAGGATCCTACGTTTAGGGGGATATAGGCCCCCCATAAGGGGGATTCTGCAAACCATGGTTTGTAAGATCCTTATGTTTGTGTGGTTTTTTTGGGCCCCTCAAGAACGGCTTCTGCTTGTCATGGCAGAATGCCTTAGTGCTCTGAGGCACTAAATTCTTCTTTTGGCAGTCACAACTGCCGAATGCCAAACCAACGAAACAGACCCCAAACCCGAAGCCCTGAAGCCTAAAATGTAAGCTAAAGAGTTTCGGGTTAGGGTTTAAGGTTTTTTAGGGTAAAACATAAGCTGACTCCAAAACCCAAACCTGAAACCCGAAATCACATTATGTTCTTTAGGTTATCCCCATCCTGCAGCTACCTGATGGAGCCCTTCTGCCGTTTTCGGACAAGTCTAGGGTTTAGGGTTTGGGTGGGGTAGGGTTTAGGGTTTAGGGTTTAGGGTTTAGGGTTGAGGGTTGAGGGTTGAGGGTTTAGGGTTTAGGGTTTAGGGTTTAGGGTTTAGGGTTTAGGGTTTAGGGTTTAGGGGGCAATTCCTCAACCTCAGGTTTTTAGAATGACTTTGACACTGCATCCGATTCAGAAGGAGCATTCCCCCAACCAAAAGCACAATCATAGCAAATCGTAAGGTGCCGTGATCACGAGGCCCATCCTTTTCGGGCTTTTGCTTGGGGTTTAGGGGTTGAGGGGTTTTAAACGTTTAAAGGGTTTCAGGGTTTAGATTTATTCTGTCTCCTCCTCGTCGTCATCGTCGTCATCGCCGTCATGCCAAAAACCCACAAGAAACAAATCCAACATCAACCCCAACCCCAAACCCTAAACCCTAACCCCCCCGAAAGTCTAAACCCCAATACCGAATTGGGGGTTTACCAAAAGAAGGGACCCCTAATTATAGTCCCCAACTAGTAGGATTCCTTTGAAATCAGGATTCCAATAAGGTGCCCCTAATTTCAGAAACCCTAAACCCTAGACCCCAAACCCCAAGCCCCAAACCCTAAACCCTAAACCCCAAACCCTAAACCCTACACCCTAAACCCCAAACCCTAAACCCCAAACCCTACTCCCAGGTCTGGGGCTGCAACATCTGTGTGGCCACTCGGCTTCGGTTTGCCACCGAGATCCTCTTGGGGTGCTTTTTCTTTTGCGAGTTTAAGAGTTGTAGTGTAGCTTTTGCGTAGGTTCTACTTGTAACAAATGAAAAGCAATGGACATTACGTATCTATACATATATATATATATATGCTACCCCCCCCCCAAAGATCTAGGTATTTTCATGATTTAGCGATATCAAGTTGAATACTTGCATGGGCCCGGAGGCGATGTGAAGTTGAAGATGTAACCGCCATTTAAACCTGAACCCTTAACCGTAAAACCCTTTTGGGTTAAGGCTTAAAAGGTTTAGGCCTTAAGATTTAGGCATTTAAACCTAAGCCCATCGAGTGTAAATCTTAGCGTACAGGGCCTAAACACTTAACCTTTAAGCCCTATAGGCTATAGGGCTAAGGTTTAATGGTTTAGGGTTTAAGTTCAATAGCAGGCCCATAGAGTTAAAGCCTTAAGGGGCCTAAACGCTTTAACCTTTAGACCCTATAGGCTATAGGGTTAAGGTTTAAAGGTTTAGGATTCAAGATTTAGGCATTTAAACCCAAGCCCACCTTAAGGGTTTAGGGTTTTAAACCCTCAGGGCTTAAGAAATACCCTAAGCCTTTGGACCCCCCTTAAGGTTTAAGCTCTATGGGCTTGTGTTTTAATGCCAAAATCTTAAACCCTAAGCCTTTCAACCTTAACCCTATGGCCTATAGGGTTTAAAGGCTAAGCGTTTAGGACCCTTAACCTTAAGGGGCCTAAACGCTTAACCTTTAGACCCTATAGGCTATAGGGTCAAGGTTTAAGGGTTTAGGTTTTAAAAGTAAGCCTATAGAGTTCAGACCCTAAGGGGCCTAAACGCTTAACCTTTAAACCCTATAGGCTATAGGGTTAAGGTTTAAAGGTTTAGGATTCAAGATTTAGGCATTTAAACCCAAGCCCACCTTAAGGGTTTAAGGTTTTAAACCCTCAGGGCTTAAGAAATACCCTAAGCCTTTGGACCCCCCTTAAGGTTTAAGCTCTATGGGCTTGTGTTTTAATGCCAAAATCTTAAACCCTAAGCCTTTCAACCTTAACCCTATGGCCTATAGGGTTTAAAGGTTAAGCGTTTAGGACCCTTAACCTTAAGGGGCCTAAACGCTTAACCTTTAGACCCTATAGGCTATAGGGTCAAGGTTTAAGGGTTTAGGTTTTAAAAGTAAGCCTATAGAGTTCAGACCCTAAGGGGCCTAAACGCTTAACCTTTAAACCCTATAGGCTATAGGGTTAAGGTTTAAAGGTTTAGGATTCAAGATTTAGGCATTTAAACCCAAGCCCACCTTGAGGGCTTAAGGTTTTAAACCCTCAGGGCTTAAGAAATACCCTAAGCCTTTAGACCCTATAGGGCTGAAAGGTTAAAGAGAGCGTAATGTCTGGGCATTTATACATTCAACGCCTATAGGGTTAAACCCTGTTAACGTTTTAGAGCCCTACAGGGCTTCAAGGTTCTGACCCTAAAGGGCTTAGGGTTATCGTTTCAATGCTGAAACCTTAAACCCTTAAGGCTTAAGCTCTATGGGCTTGTGTTTTAATGCCAAAATCTTAAACCCTAAGCCTTTCAACCTTAACCCTATGGCCTATAGGGTTTAAAGGTTAAGCGTTTAGGACCCTTAAGGTTTAAACTCTATGGGCTGACTGTTGAACTTTTCAACCCTAAACCTTTAAACCTTAACCGTATAGCCTACAGGGCTTAAAGGTTTAGCCCACGATCCCGAAACACCGCAAAAACCAATAAGAAACATAAAAACTATGGTTTCTGAAACTACTCGGCCGGCCACCCCAGCCACTAGTTTCGAAAATCATGGTTTTTGACATGTTTTTTTTTTTATTGTTTTTTTGCGATGTTTTGGGAGCATGGGCTCACGAAACATCGGTTTTACTGATGTTTTTTAGAGGTAGGCCTTCAATAACATTGGTTTTACCTATGTTTTTTGAAGGTAGGCTTTCAAAAACATTGGTTTTACCGATGTTATTTTGAAGGTAGGCTTTCAAAAACATCGGTAAAACCGATTTTTAGCGTGGGACCCACGCTCCCGAAACACCGCAAAAACCAATAAAAACCATAAGACTGAGCCAGCCACTGGGATGCGAGCCATTGCGAGTATTACAAACACAAATGGTCAAGTATATTTCGAGTGGAATGTCTGCGAAGACACGTGATCTTGAGCGACGTCACGAAAGCTAATTCTGACACTTTACAAGACGTGAACCCGATTGAAAAACGATTGAAACGATTGAAAGTCAATCGGGGGCCCGATTGAAAAACGATTGAAACGATTGAAATTCAATCGGGGGCCGGATTGAAGATTGAAGATTGAAGATTCCCAGAAAAAAGGTTTCCGGGAATCTTCAATCTTCAATCTTCAATCCGGTCTCCGATTGAATTTCAATCGTTTCAATCGTTTTTCAATCGGGGGCCCGATTGAAAAACGATTGAAACGATTGAAATTCAATCGGGGGCAGGATTGAAGATTGAAGATTGAAGATTCCCAGAAAAAAGGTTTCCGGGAATCTTCAATCTTCAATCTTCAATCCGGTCTCCGATTGAATTTCAATCGTTTCAATCGTTTTCAATCGGGCTCACAATTTGAAAAGACGACCACGCACATATGAAGACTCGCACATATCAAGATTCACATGTCCATATTGAATTTTACATGTTTAGCTAGCCCCCCACCCCCAACCCTTAAACCCTAAAACAGATCCCAAAACCATGAAAATACCTAGATCTTTGGGGGGGGGTACCATATATATGCATGTATATATATATATATATTATCATATGGTATGTGTGTACATGTATCCTTTTTTCGTGTAGCTTTTGCGTAGGTTATACTTGTACAAAAAATGAAAAGCGATTGACATTATAAAATTATGTATCTATATATACATATATATATATATTATCATATGATATGTATGTACATACACCCTTTTAATTTGTTTATACATATTTCTAGTTGTTTTTTTAAAATTACCTTTCCAGAATTGAAGATGACAGCCTTTCCTCGTCCAGGTAATTCGAGCAAATCGGGGCTAGGGCACAGGTGTTATTTAGGGGTTAAAGGTTGGGGTTCAGGGTTGTAGGACCATTGTAGAACCCTGAGTGACTTGGCGTCCGTATGTACCCCTTCTCGGAGCCGTTGAAAAGGTAGGATACCTTGGAAATCCCTTCCTGAGGTTGCGCTTAAGGCCTCAGCAGTTGGGACTTTGGTGTTGGGTTTCGGGCTTAGGTCTCGGGCTTAGGTCTTAGGGCTCAGTGATTAGAGCCGGGTTTAGGGTTCAGGGCTTAGGGTCTACTACAGGGCTCGGAATAATTACTAGTAATATTCCGTTATGGTTCCTGTGTAATTATACTTGATGAACCCCAAAACCCCTATTCGAACTATTCAGGGCCCTATATTAGGCTTCCGGATTGGCTTGGTCTCCCTGCGCTGAAACTCGTAGCCCCATACCTCAAAGCCCGGACCATGCGAGTCGAGAAGCGTAATACCAACCAGAAAATGGTCTACCGGCGATTCTGTTTCTTCTATGGACTGGGGAATACCCCCTCCCCGTCTGACCCGAACCAAAACGGGGTACCTTCATG